CAATAGTTGGCTGGCTCTGAACGGCTACCACTTTTGAAAATCGGAGTAATGATGCCTTGCTTTCACACGCAAGGGATCTGCTGTTGGTTCAGGTATCTTTGGAAAAATCTCGTTATTGGTTTAACTATCCTCGTAGCTACCATTTGCGGCGCTTTTAATGGAATGTTATCAACTCTGGTGGAACTATGGGTGCGAAACGATAGTAACTTCCTCAATATGGTCGCCTAACTAAACGTACGTGTGTAAATATTGGCATCCGGGAGAATGGGACAGGTATGTTACAAACGCTGGTAGCACATCGGAAAATTGGGGCATATAGTAGCCGTAGAACGTTGGCTGCATCCTCGGCGGTGTGCACATCCATCCGCTGATATTAGTGGGGGGACACCACGTTTCACATTTCTGAGGCTGTTCACACAAAACTTTTCCGATAGACTCTGCTGGTGTACCAATTTGTCCTCGCGCACAAGTGTGGTACGACGATTACGATGCACAACATAGTTACTCCAGTTGTCAGGGCTAGGGTTCGCTCTATACACATGCCACGCGGAGTCTCTTAGTGTCATTTGTTTTCGGGTTTTGCTCCGAATGAATGATTGTGCTTTAGCAGAACCAAGGAGCTTGTTGACCGATGCAGATTTAATTTTAGGTCACTGAACTTGGCAGCAAAATCCAACAAGGCACTGTCAATGGAACAGTCGTCCGGATACTCCCAGCTGGCATCTTCCACAAGTTTTGCCAGTATGTCGTAGTGGGTGATTGTTCGAAACAAGTTAGTATTTGACGTGATACAAGTTTATCAGGATTGAGGAGGTGTGTTTGCATGTGTGCGGACGTGTGTGTAAATGACCAGTCGGAGCAAGACAAGCGCAGTGAAAGATCGTTAGATAAATACGTGGCAACCTCACACACCAATCAATCAGCTGATTTTTCCATTTTTACTATCCAAACTTTGACCGACATTATCCTGCAAATACAACAAAAGCACCATGCAGCTGATTCCGAAGCCATAATAAGATTCGGCTTCACCTGAACGAGGCGGATTCATCAACCGCTCCGTGCTCGAGGTATGTCTCCATTTTTCCGGAACGCTACATGTGGTTATGAATTTCTCCATTTGTGGTATCCCCCCCACCCCGCCTACTCCAACACAGGCCTAGTGAAACTTCAATACGATGAGTTGCTCCACAATCGGCCAGTGATATGCATCTAGAGTTCGACAATCCGCGAGCTTCGGTCTAACTTGCATCGCGACTGAAATAGATTTTCTCCTGATACAAGAACAAGGCACCGAAGGTAAACAATTGTTTTCGATGAATTCCTCGTCAGACCTGTACAATCATATGGGTAAAGCGCAACGGAAGTAACAATGGTTTCGATCAGTTCAAATGAAATTGAATCACGTGCCAACTGGGGGCATAAACCAGCAATAAACCTAAACGATAAGCATTTTTGTTCGTCGCAATCAGCTGACAATTCAGATATGTCGACCAGCTGTCCGGAAAAGCACCAGACGGCCGTTTCGCCCTATTGGGGCTCATCAGTGGTGCGCATCCTTCGGTCCTCTGTGGAGGATCGAACCCATGACTGCTAGTGGCTCTTGCCAACTAGCCCGCAGCTTATGCAACTGCGCCATGGAGGACGGTATCTGACTATCGTGATAAGCGTACACTAGGGCAGAGATGCAGTCAAATGACTTCTTCCGGCCTCCGAATCGTCCACTTTTTCTGGCCATGGTAAACTGAGGGCTTCGATCAGTTTCTTTTGTGAACACAAAAGCGGTTGATACAACCGAATACTGATCGCCTCAGCTGTAGCGAGGGTACGGAGGCGCAGGCCTTTCGATTGCAGTGGCGGAACCTTGTAAAGTATTCGAAAGGCGCGGACTTGATCGACTTCGTGCCCATTATCAACTAGATGAGCCCTAATAGAGCTAGTTATAGCCCCGGTACTGCCTCGACTCAACCAGCGTGGAAGGTGCTCATTAATGCGCTTTGACAAGTGCCGAGCCGTTCGACCGATGTAACTAGCGCCACAGGCGCACTCAAATGATAAATGACCATAGAAGCGGTCAGCATCGGCAATTTGTCTTTGTTGCAAATGCGAATGAGGGGTTCCGTTGAGTAAGTACACTTGAGCTTAGCAGCTGGAAAAGCTGACTTAACAGCTATAGGAAGGCTTCTGGCTATACGTTCGGCGGCTGCGTCTCCTTTGAAAGGTAATCTTATAAATAGTTCTTTTTTCTCAGCTGTTAGAACCTGCACAGGGTCGAGTTTTTCTTGCATGTTCTTACTAATGAATCGATCAGGATACCCATTTTCGCGCAGCACATTTTGAATGAACTCCAACTCACTGTCCAACGTGTCTTCAGAACAAATCCTGCGGGCCCTTGTGGTTAAAGTGCGAATTAGGTTTCGCTTGTATCTCAAAGGAACGAAACTATGGAAGTTCGTATACTGGCCACTCCAGGTTTTCTTTCTGTAGACGTGCCGTTGGATCGAACCATCTATCCTACGAGTTAACAATACATCAAGGAACGGTAACCGGTTGTTCACTTCCTTCTCGCAGGTAAACTGTAATGCTGCGTGGGCCTGATTAAAGCGTTCAATAACAGCGTCGATGTCAGTGGACTGATCGGCCACAACAAATATGTCATCCATATAGGGATGATAACAATCAAAGGTGGTGATCTCCGTATGTAGTTTGGTGTTCTCTAGTTTTGCCATGAAGATATCAGCAAGCAGCGGACCTAGTGGCGATCCCATGGCTACACCATCTTTTTGACGGTAGTAGGTGCCATTGAATAGGAACTGTATGTTCCAGGTGCAACGCAAAAGGAGACTTTTCAAAGCATGCAATGGTATGCCTATCGTTGTCTGTGTTTCCTTGATGTAAGTGCAAATGTAATCAATTGTCTCGAGAAGTGGGATGTTGGTGAAAAGCGAGACAACATCCAAGGAAAACATTATATTCTTACTGATGTTGCGATCCCTGACACTTTCGATGAAATGAAAAGTGTCACGAAGGCTGTAATGTGTAAGTTGCTGTCTTAATGGCTCAAGAATTTCCACAAGCCATTGGGCAACAGAATGGTACGGTGAATTAACCATTGATAAAATTGGGCGAAGTGGGACATCAGTCTTATGAATTTTAGGTAGCCCGTAAAGCCTCGGAACATTCGTGCCACTCGGCTTAAGGCTGTCATAAAGAGTATTTGTGATGTATCCGCTATTCCGAAGCTCTTGCAAGCTCTTAGTAATCTGCATTTCGGTTCGCTCCGTTTGATCCTTTTCTCCAATTGTTCGGGAAAATTTTGTTTCATCACTCAGAATTCTTTCTAGTTTGTTTATATAGTCATCTTTGTCCAATAGAACGACCCCAGTGCCTTTGTCTGGTTTGCTCAGGAAGATCTTGTCATTACGCCTTAAATCCTCCAGTGCATCAAAGTGCTTGCGTGTCAGAAGGCCATGATTTTGAACGTGGCACTTACGATACTGACAAATTGCCGATGCTGACCGCTTCTATGGTCATTTATCAGTTCGAGTGCGCCTGTGGCGCTACTTACATCGGTCGAACGGCTCGGCACTTGTCAAAGCGCATTAATGAGCACCTTCCACGCTGGTTGCGTCGAGGCGGTACCGGGGCTATAACTAGCTCTATTAGGGCTCATCTAGTTGATAATGGGCACGAAGTCGATCCAGTCCGCGCCTTTCGAATACTTTACAAGGTTCCGCCACTGCAATCGAAAGGCCTGCGCCTCCGTACCCTCGCTACAGCTGAGGCGATCAGTATTCGGTTGTATCAACCGCTTTTGTGTTCACAAAAGAAACTGATCGAAGCCCTCAGTTTACCATGGCCAGAAAAAGTGGACGATTCGGAGGCCGGAAGAAGTCATTTGACTACATCTCTGCCCTAGTGTACGCTTATCGTTTAGGTTTATTGCTGGTTTATGCCCCCAGTTGGCACGTGATTCAATTTCATTTGAACTGATCGAAACCATTGTTACTTCCGTTGCGCTTTACCCATATGATTGTACAGGTCTGACGAGGAATTCATCGAAAACAATTGTTTACCTTCGGTGCCTTGTTCTTGATGACTAAATGGGAATTTTCCAGTTTCTTCTGATTATTGGAACTGGTGACCAAGTATCGATCTCTGATAAAGGAAGTTAATTTCGTGATTGACAAGAGAGTTGAATAAGTAGATTCTGAGGAAATTCAATCCGTTATCACCACCTTCGGCTCTTAATCACGAGAAATTAGTTCGATGTACGGACAAATTCAGTTTCAAGTCAAACGGGGTTCGCTTTTGACTAGGATATCGACATACAATCAGTTATTAGTATGCTATTAATAGAAATGAAGTGGTTCATTTGTGGCATTTGCGCTCGCCACCGAGCGAGAAAGAAAAAGGTATCGGGATCCACCGGTACCTCTTATCGACGCTTCGCTTGCACGACCAGTCGCGCGCAAGTTGAGGATTAAATTAAGTTGCCCGCAAATACGCATATTGGAACCACTGATCCCTGGATTGCAAGTTAGACGTACTACACCAATCGGCCAACGTCCTACTATTGACCAATATGTGATCGATGTACGGTTATTTTCTGTAATCGGCTGATCACAGCAAAACGAAAATAATCTTTGTTTATTTAAAATGCTCATCTTCGGTCATTAGTACATAGCTCGCTACATAGCGATTGTATTCAGCGGAGATGATCCAGATAACAGGTGACAAACTAATACGGCATGCAAAAGTTCGATTGCTCTTTCACAACGCAGTCACAAATCCCAGTCTGGCCTACAGGCCAAATCTGATTTTGTCCGGAGTACAGCCCTAGTTCGATCTGGAAAAGAAACACATTGGAATCAAGCATCATGTGAACGTAAAACAGTAAGTTTGCACGGACAGAGAGGAGATGCAATCGCGGGAGGTCATATGTACAAATACAGGTTGGAAATCACGGTGTGCTGATGGTGGTGATGGTGGGATACGTGGGATCAATTGGTTTTGCGATAGTTGTGCAGGATGGGATACACGTTGTTTAGGGCTTCGTACATCTGCTCACGGGATTTACAACCTGTGGAGAGATAGGAGGTAATGCAGTACGAAATTACAAATGGATTACGATATAGCACAGTGTAGAACACGATAGAGCGAACAGTACAGGCGCGTTGATTACCAAGAGTACCACATTGCTTGGAGGTGTACGTTAGTCAGTGCACCATAATGGATATGGATGCATAAGAGTGACCGAAACTGACATGTCGGACTAAGAACGCTATATGTGAATCCGTGCATCTCGAAGGTAAAACCAATTAAAAGATGGGGAGGAGTCTTATGATGGACGGACCATGATCCGGTCCATATAGGAGTTCGCCGTCCGAGTCCCACATCCATCTAGCGGATAGCAAATGGACTGCCACAGAAAAGCTGGGAGAACAAAGACACGTGGACTATTTCAAGAGAGCAAATATCCCAGGTGTAGACAGCAGAACAACAGTCAGCGAACAAGCATGTTTTCGGTGGATCTCGTCAGGCTGGTACACCACAACTAATACGAATAAAATGAGTTAAAACATCAGAGGGGAGTAAAGTTCAGAAGGGAAAATTAAAAGGTCTAGGTCATCTAAATGACAAGGTCAAGTGCTTGGTTCACAAACGGTCAAGGACATGTCAGTTGCATGTTCCTCAGCAGGGGTTACTGTGATATGGGGGCCAGGGAAGAGAGAGAATCTGAACGAATCGTTTTTGTGCACATAGGTCTGGGTTCTGGAGGCGGATGGCGATCGCTTCGGCTGTTGCTAATAAGCGACATCTTACCGCTCGTGTGAAGCATCCAGATACGTCGTAAATTGGCTGAAAACTTTGGTGCCTATCGATTTGGTGGTTAAAGTCAACTAGATGTGCCAACACGGCGATTGTCACTGTTTTAGTTCCACCTGCGCACAGCCAACTCAAGCGATGCTTACGGATTCTCGCAGACAGTTTCCTGGTTGTTCTTCCGATATAACTTCCTCGACATGAACAAGTAAAGGAGTATACACAGAAAGAAGTACTTGACCGAGGAAGTCTGTCCTTAAGCTGAAGCCTTATGATTGGTGTTGAAGTAAATCATACCCGTAAGCTTGCCGGGTAGTACGTACGGTTTATGGGGTCGGATAGCCTTGTAGACGTTGCCTGCGCTATTCCATCCCCTTTGAACGGCAACGACAGATAAACCGATTTTTTTCAACCGAATCGGTTTTAGCCATCGATCCTCGGCACTCCACATTTCTCCGGACAAACTTTTCGGGATAGCCGTTTCTCATAAAAAAGGCCAGCTAAGAAATTCAGCTCGTCCGAAAACGTGTCCTCACTACATATCCTCCTTGCCCTTTCGGTTAAATATCGAATCAAGTTGCGCTTCTGACTTAGTGGGACAAAGCTGGCAAAATGTAAGTATTGTAAATTCCACGTGGCTTTTCTGTGCATCCTGCGTTGGATCGACCCATCTGATCTTCTGCTAATTTGGACGTCTAGGAAAGACATCGTACCATGACGTTCAGATTTCAAGGTAAACTTAACGTTGTCGTGCGCTGAGTTAAAAAGGGACAGAATTTGTTCTGTGCAGCATTGACTGTCTGTCATACAAAAACATCTCATCCACATATCGGCCGTAATAGGGTCATACGCTAATGACTCTGCTCAGATAGTTGTTTTCTAATTTGCTCATGAATGCATCTGCCAGCAGCGGTCCTAACGGTGAGCCTATCGCTACTCCGTCTTTTTGTCTGTATATTACCCCATTAAAGTGTAATTGTATGTTGCTAGTACACAGCATGAGTAGCTGTTTCAATCGATTGTTCCAAAGGCGAGGTTCACCTGATGTGCTTGAATGGTGTCGCATAAATAATCTGTTGTCTCTTATTAAGGAACATTCGTGAAGAGCAACACGACGTCTAACGAAAACATCTTACTTCCGGTTAGGTTAAGATGTTTTATAGTGTCTAAGAAGCTGAATGTATCACGACTATACATGGATAAAACTTTCTCCCTGGTTCTATAAGCTTGGCTAGCCACTCGGCTGTTGCGTGGTAAGGTGAGTTATACGTGTCCAATATGGATCCAAGTGGAAGCCCTCCCTTATGTACTTTTGGTAGGCCGTAAAGTCTCGAAATTACCGTCCTCGTGGGTCGAAGTTGTTCGAACGTTGTAGCGTCAATCGAGTTTTCTTGTTTCAGGTGCCGCAGAAGCCTAGTAATTGTCTTTTCTATTGCCGCTGTTCTGTCCCTCTGATTCTCCATTTTACGAAACTTCACGCGATCCCTGAGAATGATCTCCATCTTGTAAATATAGTCAGCTTTCTCCAGCAGAACGATCCCTGCCCCTTTGCTCGGCCTAGAGAGTAGCACATTCTCGTTTTATTTGAGTGCTTTGACAGCGTCTAGGTGGTCTTTCTTCAGCAAGTACCTGAGTTTCGGTTAGTGCTTCAGATACTGATAACATGTATTAACCAGGGTAGATTTAAAATGCTCGGACGCTAATGCTGACGAGGGCGTAAGTGTAGACACTTGAGAAAACAAATTTTCGAACGGAACCTCTAGTTTTAGTTGTCCTGAATAACTACGGGGACAGCAAAACTCCAGACCAAGTGAAAGTACCTCTAACAGTGTCTTATCCAGGTGAAATGAGGAAAAATTGTGAATGTACTTCTCCGCCTCGGGTGGAAATAAAGTGCTTGCCTTAGTCGTGCCAACTTGTCGCTCTAATGACGCGAGGCGTTTTTCTTCTTGTTTTGTGATTATTTACTGAACAAACGTCTCCAATCGCTTGCGTTCATCTGCGTCCAGTTTGTCCAGCATGACAGAATATGCGAACCGGTTACGCTCCAAATCATCAAGTCTCGAAGTAATGGTGTCACGCTCGTTCAACGTGTCTTGTTTCAAAGCCACATTAGTCGGATTAATACGATTTCGTCGGAGTATTTTCCAGAATTGTTTCGGATATTCGCGGCGTAAAATACAATCATCAAAGAACCGCACCAATTCTTTGGCTACCGCAAGTATTGTGCAAAACTTAACATATTGATTAAGTCCTTTGAGCATAACGGGATCCTTGGACTGTTTCAAGTGAGCAAAAATCCCAGGTGTAGAGATCAGAACAAGAGACAGCGAACAAGTTCGTTTTCTGTGGATCTCGTCAGGCTGATACCCCACAACTAATACGAATACGTAGAAATTCCTCACACCTAGACTCACTCAGTTGTCACACGCCCGGAAAAGCACTGTACGCGCGTTTCATCCCTTCGGGAATCGTCAGAAGCGCGTATTCTATCGGAACCTGGTAGAGCTCAAACCCGCAACTCGACCGTTGCCAGTCCGTGGTTGAGACCACTGAGCTACGGGGGACGGCAACGACCATCGTTACTGGATGTGATATAACGCCGCTCACTATGCCGTCCCCCGTAGCTCAGTGGTCTCAACCACGGATTGGCAACAGTCGAGTTTCGGGTTCGAGCCCTACCAGGGTTTAATGAAATGCGCACTGCTGATGATTCCCGAAAGGATGAAAAGCGCGTATAGTGCTTTTCCGGGCGTGTGACAACTGTCTGAGTGAGTCTAGATGTGACGAATTTCTACCTAGACCATTCAACTCCCCCCACTACTTTTCTGTAATACGAATAAAATGAGTTAAAACATCAGGCGGGAGTAAAGTTCAAAGGATAAAATTAAAAGGTCTAGGTCACCTAAATGACAAGGTCAAGTGCTTGGTTCACAAACGGTCAATGACATGTCAGTTGCATGTTGCACAGCAGGGGCCCAGGGAAGAGAGAGAATCTGAACGATTCGTTTTTGTGCACATAGGTCTGGGTTCTGGAGGCGGATGGCGATCGCTTCGTCTGTTGCTTATAGGCGACATCTTTACCGCTCTTTGGTGCCTATCGATCTGGTGATTAAAATCAACTAGATGTGCCAACACGGCGCTTGTCACTGATTTAGTTCCACCTGCACACAGCTAACTCAAACGATGCTCACGGATTCTCTCAGACAGTCTCATGGTTGTTCTTCCGAGATAACTTGCTCGACATGAACAATGACCTCGTCATTTAGATGACTTAGACCTTTTAATTTTACCCTTTGAACTTTACTCCCGTCTGATGTTTTATCTCATTTTATTCGTATTAGTTGTGGTGTACCAGCCTGACGAGATCCACCGAACACAACACTGAGAAATCCATGGTTGATTAAGAGGGTGCGATGTTACCCGGTTGCCGAAGCCGAAGTAGAGTGGTCTATTATGGGACACAAACCCCCCCCCCCCGGGAAGTTTGGCCAGATAGCCTACCAGCTACGTAGTGAGGCGAAGTCAGGGAATCGCGCCTATGGGAACTCAGTGACTGAATTCCAAGCCTTTTGTTTGATGAGACACCAAACAGAGGCCCAATCCTCCACATGATGTCAGTAGTATACTGCCGGAATAAAATACTCCGCCAAGGAGAAGTGACTTAGTTTAATGGCAAATCACATCCGCCACATCCCAATACTGTTAGACAGCACCTTCACTTCACCAGCTTCATACCAGTGCGGTACAAACGGACATTTGTGAAGACTCTGGTTAGTCGTGACAGAGGAATTTGTTCGGCCGACTGTCTGGACGATGAGCTAGTGTTAATTACAGCAACACTAATGGCGAACCGCTACCCTCGAATATTTATCGAGAAACATAGCCAACCGCGAGGACCAAAGGACTTGGTGCACAAGGCAGCCAAGAAGAAAGTGTATATCGAGTTGATTTAGCCACGCTGAAGACAATTAAGCGTATAATTTCGGCAACACAAAGAAGTTACTATACTGCCCATACCTCCAACAAAGGAAGCTCAGCCTATTGGGGTAAACTCACACTGTGTATACCAATTTGTATGTGACTACGGAAACAGTTACATAGGCAGAACTAATAGAACGTTGAATTCCCGAATAAACGAACACGTACCAACAGGGCTTCATCGTGAAGTTGTTCAGAATGCCTACTCTCGTCAGATTCCATGTTCGCGCAGACCGCCGGCTTCCTCGGTAGGCGAACACCTATTAAACTCGCGTCACCGGATAGAGCTGGGCTCAGCCTTTAAAGTTGTGTTACGTCACTAATCCCTGCTTCCTTCGGTTTGCTGAGGCTGTCGCTATAAGCCGGATGAAGCCAGCCTTATGTGTTCAGAAACAATTATTTGTCGGTCTAAAGCTGCCCTGGACGTAGGTGTGAACTTGCATCATCCGTTCTGCACATCAAGCTTGTCTGCTTGCGCCCGCTGTTAGCTATATCTATGCACATCGGTTATTGTTAATGGTACTGGGGAGATGATACGAAATGTATGCATCTACCAGCCTTCGTCTTCTTTCCGTGTTTTTCAAATTGTTGAAGGGAACTAATTGATTTAAACAGACGTGATAATTTTTTATAGGGAAAACGATTGCCAGACGAAAACCCACCACGTCCTGAAACATAGTCGCCGAACGGGATACTCACGAACCACCCAGCTGGCACCATGAGGTGATTGGTCTGAACTAAAGTGTTATTCATTACAAACAAGTATGTATGATAGCATAACAAAAGAATCGTGAATACAGGGGTGGCCGCAAGAAAGTATTAAAAATAAATGCGAATAATAGGATTGCGGTTCTCATAGAGGAAGACGTAGACGATATGAATGAGATGCAAATCAGTTGAGATGGGGATGCGAATCGCGTGAATGACGATCGTTGCACTCACCTGTGATGACCACTTTGCCATTGACAAAGATCAGCATTACCAAACGAGGTTTCACTAGTCGGTAGATGAGGCCGGGGAAGATTTCAGGTTCGTATCTGGAAGACAGAGTGATGACGTGGAGTGTATAAGAAAACAGTTAGGCGAAAAAAAGTGAGGCAGAAAAATTTAGATAAACAGTACGAATGAAAAGACCAGCAAGAAAACCCCGAGAAAATGGGAAGGATTTTGTTTGGTCCATCGCAATCAGATTACAAGCCTCACAGGTAAGTTACCAATCGGGAAAAGCCCCAGACGATCATTTCGCCCTACTGGGACTCGTCAGTGGTACGCATTCCCTCGGTCTCTTTGCTCGGAATCGAACTCATGATGGCTAGTGGCTTGCACCACTAGTCAGCATATTTGGCGCTGAGAAAACCCATTAGCAAAGAGCGATGGAAGAATGCACCGGTCAAAACTAAATAAGGATAAGCCATAAACTCAAAGCAAGACCGCTGCAAACTATATACTGGCTTTGTGGAGTGAGGCAGACCCGCAGATCTGAACAAAGAAGCATCAAGCAGTAGCTTAGCAATGGAGTTCTCCGAGCTGGGCAACTCGGTTGCAAATGTTTCGCCACCATTCGATGTGGCATCTTCAGTGCGGGATTGATAGCAGTTAAGTAGCTAATTAACTGCTATCAATCCCGCACTGAAGATGCCACCTCGAATGGTGGCGAAACGTTTGCAACCAAGTTGCCCAGCTCGGAGAACTCCACAACAACTGAGCAAGCCTCCCGAGCTACCAATATTCCAACTCATTTCGAGTAGCTTAGCAAGTTCAGGCACTTCATTTGTTAGCTAACAAACAAACCGAGTAAAGAGTCCAAGTATATGGCGAACAGCGATATCTCGCCATCTTAGAAGCAAAACGTTAGGAGCAAAAACGTTAAACATGGAGTGCCGACTGTAAAAATTTGAGTAAGTTATCTTGGAAGAGACATGAACCACAACACATAACAGAGAATAGATAAAAAGTTGTGCTTTGGATCTAATTCCCGCTTTCAGGCTATGGGTAATGTGGATGCGAAGCTTCTCAACCCGATCCCCGAACTGCTACCCAATCAAAACGATCGCTATATCAAATGGATGGTATAAGCCACCAAGCGTTCCAGCGATAACACACTGATCATCAGTTCCGGCGTTGCTGAATGGGAACAACTAGTTGACTTATCTGAATTGTCGGCTGACTGCGACGAACAAAAATACTCGCCATAATCCTTCTACTCATAAGTAATACTATCTACTCACTCAAGGTGGGATATTAAATGAAACAAGCTTGGTTCAGTAAAAGCCGTGACGCCTCGTACTGGTAGAGCAGGCGCCAGCCAGACACAGTGGATTATTTCGCAGAGCTTTCGGCTTTCTTTGCAGGCGAATCAACATCATCACAAACGTTAGCACATTACGCCACCAAACGATGAGAACAAACGGTATACCCCCGATGGTCCCATTAACTAGACCCCGGTGGGCAAAAAAGGTTGGGACCTCAACGAACTCAGCACGCAGCCGACGTGTCTCAGATTCACACGGTGGCACTGATAGCAATGTAATGCAGTGTAGTTCTACCCTAAATCAATAAGCTAATATCATGTCGACTAGACAAATGACTGAGGCCATGAAAAGTCACGTGTGCCCGTTGGTCTATTATTGGTGGCTCTACCCACGAGAATACGCCGAATCAATGAACCGAACAGGTAGCGGCACAAGTGGTTACCCGGAAGCAGTGAAACAGCGGACAAGTGTTCAGAGTACGGGGCACAGTATGAAACGCGTAGCACTGAGTCCGGCCTCAACAAGACAGCCACTTACTTACTAAAGTAAGTAAGTAAATCGCCAGCTGTACGCCGTAACGGCGTTTCGTTGCCACGCGACCACTAGCAGTGGCGCGTGGGCTGAGTGTACCGTGAGGACGCCCGCCCCAACGCGGCGGATTCGAACCGATGACCTTATGGTTGCAAACCAGACGCGCATATCACTCGGCCACTGGCCGACCTCAAAAGGACTATATACAAAGTCGTGTGTTCCAAATCCATTATTCCGTTAGATAAAATGACTTTCATTCAGAGTGAAGTAAATAAAGCGTACATTCATGCTCTTGTGGATGATTTACACGAGTTACTAGTGAGATTGTGGGAGCAGGAAACTGTCCCAACCGATTGGAGCCGCTCCGTCATAGTCTCAATTTGCAAGGGAGGCTCATGATCGGAATGCGGGCAGCCACAGAGGAATCAGTCTGATCTCCATCGCCTCCAAATTACTTGCCTCTGTCATCCTTCACAGACTGACTGGCACCTGTGAAAGCCATATTCGTGAAGAGCAAGCCGGATTTCGTCGAGGTCGTGGCTCCATCGGCCACATCTTCACCTTGCGTCAATTGTAGGAAGACTGTCACATAAATTGGCGACCAACCGTTGCCGTGTTTCTCGACAACAAAGGTACCTTTGATTCGGTTGATCGATATGCCCTTTGGAATTGTCTACTCAAGAAAGGTGTACCTGAGAGATATGTAGATATTATCCGAGCATTATACGCGCGTAGCTCAGGCAGAGTGAGAGCTTACGGCCAGCTCTCGCCACCCTTCAAAATCTCCAGCGGTCTGAGACAAGGATGCCCGTTGTCACCTTTTCTCTTCAACTTCGCTGTTGACGAAGTCATGGAAATCGTGTTCACAGGACACGACTTTGAAGGTGTGGAGCTACTCCCAGGAGTACCACTTCTTGACGCAGAGTATGCTGATGATATTGCCCTTATCTGTGACAGCTCCCATACGTGCCAAGCGGCACTGGACAGATTAGCACTGGCTGTCAGCCGCTTCGGGTTTTGCTTAGCACCCTCGAAGTGCAAAGCGTTCCTCCAAGAATGGTCTGGATCGCCTCCTACGCTGACCCTTGGTGGGGATCAGCTAGAAGTAGTTCAGAAATGCAACTATCTGGGAAGTTGTATCAGCGGCCTTGGGATCGAAGATGAGATCACGAATCGTATAGCAAAAGCTGCAGGCACTTTTGCTAACGTTCGCCACTTATGGCGCCGGCGCGACATCATTTTAGCCATGAAGGGTAGCGTGTACAATGCAGTGGTACCTTCGACCCTACTGTACGTTTGTGAAACATGGCCGCTTAAAGCAGCAGACCTGAAGAGCCTAGTTACGTTCGACCACCGGTGCCTTCATAATTTAGCTCACATCTGGTGGGAACACCGCGGGTGCAACGAGTGTGTTCGACGCCTTGTTTACGGCACAGAAAAAGGATCTAAACCGCTCAACACCGTCATTTCACGCACCAGACTCCGATGGCTGGGCCACGTGTTGCGCATGCCAGCCCATCGAGTTCCACGACGTGCGTTGTTTGCGCGCCGTTTGTGTGGATGGAAGAAGAGGAGAGATGGCCAGGCGATGACCTGGTCGAGAGCAATGAAGCCCCTCACTTCTGAGCTGGCCTCGGTTGGAGCATCTCGGCTCCCTGGTTGGGATCCGAAAGACGATGAACACGTTTGGCTGGATACACTTGCTGATATGGCTAGGAGCCGACCTCAGTGGCGTTCCTTCTGTGAGTTTCTTTGTCTCATCCCATCCCTCCCACGACGATCTCACTGTTTAGCGTAATATAATTTTGCATATTTAATTTTTTTGATGCAAAGTAGCCGGCTGGTAGCTTATTGGAACGATGCCCATCCGTTACCGATAGCTCAGTCGGCTTGAACCAGTTGCTTTTTTTCTCCTTTTTTCATCTGTATTGCAGCATAGTAGATGAGGTGTTTCCCACCTCTAACTAACGTGTATGATGATGACAATTATGCTGATCTACTGGTAAGTGAGAGATAAAAGAACAAGGTGAAGGAAAACTCAGTAGAGATCCTGACAGAACTACCCACAGTCCTTGGGAGTTGAAACACTGAGTTCCGCATAGAGGCAGACCATCCCAGTAAACATCAAAGCGAGAGGCAACAGCACAAACAAGCGTTATTAACTCGCTTAAGATGGGGGAATAAGTCGGATAAAGCAATTTACACGGAGGGACAGGACCAGCAGGGGAATTCCGACAAACATGATGCGTCAGCAAGAGAAACTGGGTACCTATGAACCGACGATTAGCATTCTGGCTAAGAAAATCTGTTGATGTGTCGACTACACTTATAACAACAACAACAACAACAACAACAACAACAACAACAACAACAACAACAACAACAACAACAACCAAAAGGATTAACTCGCGTAGACGTTTCAAAGAATGTTGGCATAACGGTGAACTCTTCCGTGATCGTTAGTATAACAGTCCATCGTCCGAAACCAGCCACAGTATAAGAAGTGATAGTAACGCAAAGCGTTGGAACACACAGTTTGAGGAGTTACATAGTAAGCTGACGGTGAATGAGAGTTTAGTGAACATGATAGCAGGCGTCAAACACTGTGTCGGGTTTCACTTTCAGCTCTGACTACCTTTATCTAATGTGTGCATATGTGGACGAAACCAGTCGGTCGTGGAGTGTTGAGAGTGTTGGGAGAGAGCAGCTAGATAAAACTCTCCACTTCGGATGCGGTCCCTGTGATCGAAATGGCAAACTGTAGCCACAATCCAGATCGCGTGTCGCAATCCAGACACACAGAGTGGGTACACCAAGACCCAGTAATAATGAACTTCCAACCGCTGTGTCAAGCGCTGCTATGGAGCTTTGGCCTAGTGACCAAGACGAAAGCCGCTCCAACTTTCAGATCAAGTTATCTTTACCTGATGAGTCCTAATACGGACGAAATCGGTCGTTTGTAAAGTGCAGTGTTGGGAGGGAGCAGCTCCGAAACTCTCCACTTCGGATGACGTCGGAATGGCCGACGTTTGCGTCAAAGTACACTGTGGAGGGCATTCCAAAGCTCGACAATACAAGCTAAATTGTGCTTGGGTTTTGTTCACCAAGTAAAAAGTACTTGGAATCTTTAATTCCAAAATAACCAAACTCACTGTGTCATCTGTTCGTTTGCGAGTAACAGACGTTCAAGTCGAATGGGAAAACGGAGGTCTGCCAGACCGACAACGTTCTGGATGGTGAAATTGATGAATTTGGTCTGAAATAACAAATAGTAACAGCAGAGAACATCATTTACGTACACGTAACGGCAGTAGGTGCGTGATCGTGGATGGAAGTAGTTCGCAAATCAACTTCAGACAGTTTTTGAACCACATTAACTAATGGGATGGGCGCAACGCGTTGAGATGCTTGATCTGAATAACAGCTAGGGTGAAGAAAGCAGGCGAACGGGTTTAACCGGTGTTCGCGAGTTAGACAAGTCGATATGACAGACGTCTGTTGCCAGAGTCCAGGAAGACCGAAACGAAGCTGCAGGCATTCACTCGCAATTGTCGGTAACAAGAGAAGTTGTGAAACGTGTCAGGAAGGGCAGGATAAGGAGATATTACTCAAACAAACTATCGTAAACTTTCAGTTCGACCAATGATCGAGATCAAATTCAAATTGCCCGGAAGTAAGACGAAAACTAGCAAACGAAGGCAGCTATGTAGCAAACGAAAGCCAAAATGCAACGGGCATTTTTATGGTATACAAATTATTCGAGCAACGATCTGGCGAACAAGCTTCATTGACGATACTAGGCTCACGCATACGTATTGAAGCATCAGAGACCTATGACAGGGGTGATGGACGACAGCAGCCGCATTAATAGGCAAATAAACAAAATGGGTGCAAACTACATGGGTGGTATCTGAGTGGTTCTTCGTTAAGGATTTCGCAAGTATTATTACGTCGCTCACTTTTGTCGCCACCTCTACTACTCATGCTTCGCCATCACACACCAAATTTTCTCTTGTTGATAATACACAAGCTTTTGAATCGACTTCCAATGCCCGTCTCACTGACATCCAAATCGTCCGGCCATCTTCTATCCTTCGACCCCGGTCTTCATTCCGCCTGACAGCGTTTAATGTTCGGACCCTCCTACAGATTGGGCAACAGGCTGGTCTGGCGGGCCCTCTAGCGTCCCTTGCCATCGATGTTTGTTGCCTTTCAGAGACTCGATTGCAGGATCCCAGCACAGTGGTTAAGTTGTCGTCCCCAGCTGCTCTTAAGATTACATATTACTTACGTCTGTCTGGTGACATGGAGGCAGCAGCAGTCCGCTTAGCTGACGTTGGTATCGCATTGAGTGACAAAGCGGAGGCGGCATAACTCGACTGGTTCCCGATCGACAGCCGGCTGTGTGCGGTTCGGCTTCAAGGCTTATGTAGAATCAACAGACTTCGTGAAGACAAACGCAATTTGTTTGTCATTTCTGTCTACGCTTCAAGCGACTGCAGCTCTGCAGCAGTTAAGGATGACTTCCATCGTTGACTCCACAACCTTTTGAACAAGGACGAAAAGTCAGATGTGATCGTCGTGATGCATTAGTAAGCCGCCTGCCTCCTTGTGAACGTCATCTTGGTGGCAGTCATGCGCTTGATGAAAGCTGTTCTGACAACGGTGATAGACTTCTTACGTGATGCGAAGACCACCGTCTGTTTCTCGCAAGTATGAACTTTAGGCATACCAGAAGACGCGCAGTCACCTGGTGTCCTCCTTCACCAACGCTAGCGTGGTCACAAATAGATCACATTGCAATCAGCTTTAGATGGCGAGGCAGCGTCGGGAGTTGTAGATCGATTCGGTTTACGTACCTCGATTCAGATCATGCTTTGGTCTGCGCGGACATCTGCATGCGCTTCCGCGGCTCCTCAAAGCGAAAGCTGCATACGCTCGACACAAACAAGTTAGTTGACCTATCTACCCGAGCAACTTATCAAGCGATTGAAGCATCAAAATATCGCATAACCTTTACCCCTATCAAATGCAAAGTCCTGGTACTGGATTGGCATCCACCTGTTCCAGTACTCACTCTTTACGGTACGCAGCTCGAACAAGCGGACAACTTTGTTTACCTGAGAAGTTGTCTCTGCTGATGGTTGCATTGAAGTGAGATTTCCCTCCGTATTGCCAAAAGCCGTTCGGCGTTCGCCAACCTGAGACATCTGTCGTGACGCCGTGACGTTGCACTGTTGGTAAAGGGCAGGGTCTAGAATACCTGTGTTCGCGCTGTGCTGCTGTATGGGAGTGAGTCCTGGCCGAATCGTGTGAATGACTTGCGTCGGATTTCGGCCTTTGACTATGGATGTCTGGGGAGAATAGCTCGAGTGTGGTGGACGTACCACGTACGCAACGATGATGTTAGACGCCGCGTCTTGGGTAACATGGGACCTCCACTTGACAGAGTGGTACCACTGCGCCAACTGAGATGGCTGGGCTATGTTTTACACAAGCCATGCGAACGGTTGCCCCAACGCACTCTCTGAGCTTGCACAGGAACGGGCTGGAAGAAATCGCGCGGTAGTCAGCCCGTCACGTAGCAACAAACGATTAAAGCGCTGACTTCCAGTTTAGCTGTCGTTTGTTCCATGAGTCTTCCTTGCTAAAGGTATCAAAGATGAAGATCATTTCCGGCTGGAAATTTTTTCGGAGATGGCGCAGAACCGAGCCCAATGGAAAATGTGAATGAATAATTCTATGCATTTTCTTGATCTACATCACAAACAGTAAACAGACAAAGAACAAAATGGCGTGTGGAAAAAAGCAAAAAGGATAAACAGGAATCAAAAATGAAAAATGCTTTGTTGTAACTTTCAACTATTTGTCTCCTTTGTGGTTCCCGTAATCATCAGTTCCATTTCATTGTTTTCGCAGGCTCCATGTCAATCAAATATTATATATATATATATATATATATATATATATATATGCAGAAATTCATCACATCTAGACACAGAGCGGCGTTATATCACATCTAGTAACTTATTCACGATGGTCGATGCCGTCCCCCGTCGCCCAATGGTCTCAACCACGGACTGACAACAGTCGAGTTGCGGGTTTAAGCCCTACCAGGGTCCGATGGAATGTGTACTGCTGACGATTCCCGAAAGGATGAAACGCGCGTACAGTGCTTTTCTGGACGTGTGAGAACTACCTGCGTGAGTTTAGATGTGATGAATTTCTACCTATACCATTCGACTCCCCCTACTATTCCTATATATGGTTGGCGGCATCCGGTTTCGGATTTGCCTGTCACTGTGGCCAGCCACAGGACGCCTGCGCCTACAGAGGGACCATGGATGGCTTGCGCTGCACCACCCACAGCTACAACCACACACCCCATATCCAGTGTAAACCCGAAGGAATAAGACCGGGAGGCATGTGGATGGGAACCACGTTTCATCAACGGAGCCGGCCCACACTCCTTCACAGGCAAACACAAGCACACTGTATTTGAGAAATCAAGCGCACACAAGGCGGTGGCTGGACCGTAGTCCGCTCCACACTGAGTGCATGGAACCACTCTTCGAGCCTAGCACGTCCACAACGACCGTGCACCCCGTCCCCTCCAGCAACGACCAACTGTCTCCTGGAGCCAGTATGGACGAGGTAGTGGGTAATAGACAGGTAGGCACCTTGTCAACATGCACATCAAGCGCATCCACACCGGGGATAGCAAACAACAGTCAATCACTTGAGAGAAAGATAACCAAGAAAATAAATCGTGTAATGCATAAGGAAACGGTGACATAAATCTTAAATTAATGAGCATATGAAATAAGTTGTCTACAAACGAATACGAGGTAAGTTCATGAGGTCAGGAAGTTTATTTTACGGAAATGCTACAAACATGAAAATGTTATCGAAATAACTACAAGTGGCTTAAGCGACGTGTGCAAGTGTATAGAAGAGGGTATAAATAGGCATTTATATGGGAAAGAAAAGCATTAGGACAAAATTGAAAACCCGCCACCTGAAATAAAGAGACTTAGCATGCAAGCACGCGGTTAGTAAATCGAATGCAGCGTACCTACAAACGCTGCGCCGGTTCTGCCTATGTTCTCTGCAGGACCCGTCGTCACTTCGGTAGTGGTCCCGAGTGGCCTCGCTCATGGCTCACTAGGCCTGCCTGACTAAGGCACTCGCGACCGCATGTGCCACAGCACCATGCACTCGATGTCGATGGAGTACAACCCATCGGTGCTTGCCGCCTCCGCCATTGCCCCTTCTTCTCTGCATGTATGAGGTCTTTCTCTTGCACTTCGGCAACTGCCTTCGTGATTAGATCGCGCCATGCGCGTCGAGCAACCGCCTTCGATTCCCATGACCTGCAATCAAGATTAGAAAGTGATAGACTCACTTTGATCATGTCCTGGTAACGTAACTTTGGTTTCCCCACATGCCGCTTCCCAATACTCAGCTGACCGTATAAGAGTTGTTTCGGTATCCGCGTCGAATCCATGCGGCTCACATGACCGATCCACCTCAGGTGTCTCAGCAAAAGTATGCAGTCCACTGCATACATCCCACTTTGTCGCAACACTTCTGTGTCAGCAACTCTGTCGCCGCAACTGATGCGCAAAATTCGTCGCAGACACTTCTGATGGAACCGCTCGAGATATCGCACATCCCGACGGTACATCGTCCACGTTTCACTGCCGTATAGATAAACGGACAGCACCATGGATTTGCACACCATCAGCTTCGCATCAATGGTAAGCTGATGGTTTTTCCACACTCGGTACTCTAGCTTCCCGAATGCCGCCGCTGCTTTCGACACAGGGATACGAAGCTCACTGTGAAGCTGCTGGTCAGTCGACATCACACTCCCAAGGCTATATATATATATATATATATATATATATATATATATATGCGGAAAATGCTGGCAATATTGGATAGTGAACGTATTCTTCGGAATGAAATGCGATAGTAATAATATTACAGGAAGCGTATGCGGGAATTACATGTATATAGGAAACAATGAACGCACCTGGAATCCAATTTTCTGCAGGATCCGAGCACATTTGCGCGCACCGAGATTGCAATGAAACTCCGATCTGGCTCCTGTGCACACCATTTTCCCGGTGCTGAAGACAAGGCAGGTGACATGCGGTTCTCTTAAGCGAATCACAGCACCAGGGAACCGCTTTGGATTGTACTCAGCGCTTCGAACGTGAAGTACAACTTTGCGTAGTTCAATTTGACAACCCAAATTCACCGTACCTATCACGTTGCTTTGAAAGAAAGCAGGCAATACAAAGATCAGTGCTCATCGATGGAAATTGTCACGAAGAGATTTAAAAAAGTGAACAGGAAAATCAAAGAGGATGCCCGTTGTGTGGTTGATTTGTAGTCTAATTCCGGCAGTCGGGCAGGTTCAAGTATTTTCCTACTACAGAATAATTTTTGTATCTAAATCAAAATATCTCCCGGCGGTTAACACCACATGTTCATCCTAATCAAAGTCCCTCGTGTAATTCCTTTAAAGCGAAATGTACCGCATGTTGCTGAGGGATTATTGCATGGCCAAGTGAAGCACATAGATCGTTTGGTTCCTCCACAATCGAACTGAGGCACCAGGAACTATCCACATAGGAATAATCCATACTCGGAATAGCTCTCTTGACAAGTTGACCTGACTAATGCTATCACTCCATCAGCTCTACAGCATTACGTACCATCCTTAATGGCAATTTCCATCAATTTCGTCAAAGCAGACATAGACAGCGATATGACAACATTTCGATTGTTCTCATCAGTCGTAAACACAATACAATTAGAAACACAGACATATACGAGGGAAAAAATTTCAAACGTCCATCAAAGCAAACAGCAAGTTGGAATCCATTAAACACTAAACTGATTATATTCCGTAACAATGTAGTTAATTGGGGAGCTGGTCAGATGTGGACTTGCTGAAGTTTCAGCTGGGGAAAAGTGAACAACTGTGAAACCACTGAAATGTAGAAAATCGACTGAGTTGACGAATTGCTAGGACCGTCCAGCCGATGCGATAACCAATACCAATGAAAATTTTATTCCATCCAGATTAATTGAAACTAACCCTAAAATTAATTACTCTAACTCGATATATGACCAACCCGACAACGGATTATGTGAAGCCGGCTGGTGCTCCCATTGGTAGGACAGCGGCGCATACTAGTATTAGAGGACACGGTACATGGTATATCTAACAAAATACCCCGAGCTTCGATACAAAGTGTTGTATGGGGAGACAATAAGCAGTACAGTACTTTAAAAGAACTTTGATCGTCACAAATACCACGCACAGTTATAATACGATGCGCCAGCTGCTAACAGGTTCATTAAAAGACTTATTCAGGGTAGCAGAAAATGTCACGTTTAAGGCGACAAGAACTGTAGTCGACAAAACGCCCCTGAAGAGAGGAGCTTGGTACACATGTACAAGCTACCGTTTTCAAACGGTGGTAAATATCTCGTTTTAAACTCGGTATCAGTGTGGAACACAGATATGTTCCCAGACGGTACTACCCGAACAGACTTTGATGAGAACAGTTTGATTCGCCCCCTCATTAGTTCATTTGCTACCACAAATGATTCCACAAACGCAACTGCCTCTATCACCACAGTAACCCTGCATGCAGTACCGTACAAATAAGATCTTGAAAAGCACATCACCGACGTTTATAACACACGATGAAAAGATGCAGCTGAATGCAGATAAATCACCAGTCCTACTTCCTATGCATTACCTCAGCTAATGTGTATTGGCAGCTGCACCGCACCCATCGACACAGACTCTCTGAAAAGTTCTCCGGCGAACGGGGGTTGCCCAGTGGCCGATCGGCCCAGACGTCTATCATAACCCAGTGATCACCGGCTCGAGCTTACGTGAGTGCTAGTGACGGCGCAGTGTTCATATCCCTCACGCGATGGTTGCGTGACAGCAAAGCCTCAGTACGAAATGTCGATGTACTACTGATGAGCTTTGCTTTTTAAGTGGAATGTATATATGTGAAACCGTCATGCTCGAGCGACATACAAACCACCCGGAAAGTTGTTATGGATAGGCATAAAACAGTAAAGAAACTTTTAGAAAAAGTAACTACAGGCATAAAACCCCCCAAATTTATGCAGATCGTGATGGAGAATTTTATAACGAGCATAAGCTCAGCCGGTATCTGAAACCATCCGGCATTCACGAAGACTCGTAAGGACCAAGCACCGCAGTAGATTCTTCCATACAACATGACTATCACAAATGCTCCAAATTGATTAGACGGATGGAGCCATATTTCTGGGACATGGATTCACGACCACACTCTGAGTGCTCCCTAACCCAATAATAGATAAAAGCGCAGAGCGCCAGATATTGTGCTCCAAAAACACATGACAACATTCACACTGACATCAACGAACATTGGCTCCCCTCACATATCGATGATTCCACAGAAGCATTTAAAAAAGGCAAAAGACATCAACAGAACGCCATCATACGCTCCGTTGTCACGTGATCCCCAAAAGCCGCGATGTCGCCCGCACCTATGTAGATTCGAACTCATGATCTTTGGATTCCTAAACAACCGTGTAATCCTTTCGGACACCGGCCGACACCGGATCTTATAAGAAACTTGACAGCACCAAAAAGTGGCGTACCATGTTGCGCAAGCCATTTGTCACAGGTAACAAACTTTCATCCGAATCAGAATATCACGAGGTCACTAACTTTCAAACTGTCCATTTAGTTCCGCATCAGTCGGACACAACGATTCGCCAGCAAAGGTAACCAGATCGAAGAATTCAATAACTCATACGTTTACCCAATGTGCACAAGGTTTAGTATAAGGCTTAATGTTTAAATTCTCAGAAAGAAGACATACTTTATTAGCTAAAGCTCCCTGGCCGAACAACCTCCACGTGGTGTGAACCGGGTGGTTCGGGTTAATCCCGGTGCAGTTAAGAGTTCGGCTGCAGTGTTCCAGGACGTGGTGGGTTTTCACCTGGCAAGCGTTCTCCCTCCTATAAAAAGCCACAAATGTCTGCTTAACAACATTGTGACGTGGCGGACGTGACTCGCCACTAAATAAAGTCACTGTCTTGCCATACCGGAAGATCTTACAGGTTTCGCGAACGGCAATCATTTCAAAGACTTCCTCTGATCCCCTTCAGCGAACAAACTCACAAATTCACACAACACGATGACTTTACATATGCACCCACATACATACTAGACATACATACACACATATATCCAGTATGTACTGGTTAAATCGTAACAGTTCTGAACCACTACGGATGTTACGCGTTCGTATTATCATGATCGTGCCTCTGAAGGCGTGTCTCGTACCATAGAGAATAAATTCTGTATTTATTTATGATCGCCTGCGTTGGCAAGTGGCTCAGGTTTCGAAAGAGGTTGCTCGGCAGACATTCTGTCCGCTACAGGGCAAATCAGGGGAGTTAGCAGTGGTATGGCACAAGTAGCTACTTGGGCATATTCGTCGTTGACGTCTCCTGTGGCCAAATGTTCCTAACCACGTGATTTGTAAGAGTAAAATAGAGGATTCTAATCCGATAGGGAGGCAAGTTGAACAGTGCTGCTGACGGGTCCCGAAAGAGTTAGCGAGCCACCCGGTGTGGTGATTGCCTGATGGTGAGGAATTTAGATTACACTACTTAAATCCCACTACAACTCACCTCCAATTGTACATTTCCTTGTCGCGGAAATGTGGTTTAAGGATCAACTGTATGACTGTTACCATATTTATGGGAAGTAAATATACACAAACGGCCGCCGTGACACAGTTGATGAAACAATTCGTAGGCAGTTCATGGCTAAAGCAAGGTAGGGTTCCGAATGCACAATGGCAGAGATAAAGAAGCCCAAATTCCCTACACTTTGATAAAACTGGCGTTTACCAACGTAGGTGAACCTGTGGTGTAGTGGATAAGGCAAGCTGACTGCAAACTACACGCCTCGGGTTAAAGTCCTCATTCCTACATTGGGCTGAGCGGTCCTGTAGTATCCCAGTCTGTGTACAACCACCACTTGAGGTTGCAAGGCGGTGGAGTTTAGGTGCGAGCTACTAGGGTGTACTGTGACAACTACAGACTGTGAGCTGAGGGTGATGAGAGACTGACCATGCTCAAACACGGATGGCTGTGAAGAGCTACACAAGCTAAATTTCACCACCTAGTATTTGAGAACAGATTCTGGTGTCACAATGCTGGTTGTTGTATTCAAATTACTTGGACTAGTTGGATAGTGCTCTTCCGAAGACCGTTAACAGGTCGTCTCGTCGTGCCGTATGGCTGAAGATCCTTGAGCCGTCAGTCGGTGACATCATAAAAAACCATGAGTAAATTACTGGAGAGGTTGTGATATTCGTACACTGTTCTCCCGGATGAGAGCTTCGGGATTGGAGACGGCGGTTAAACAGCCAATCGGAAATGGTCCAGTCACGAAGCATTCGTTTGCTTAGTTATGACGCTTGACCAGTCATCTAACCGCTTTTTACACTTCATCCGTGTATTACCCTTTAATTATCCCTATTCGTTCTCGTACTTATATCTTCTGTCGATATAACTCAATGTAACAATCCACTGCACCCATTTGATTAACTGAACCGTGTCGGTGATCAACATATTTATGAAATTGTCCATTAGTAAAAAGCACATCCCGACTTGGCAATGATGCAGGTTTCCAGAAAGCAATAAATGTAGAAGAATCCCGAATACCCTATCCTGTAAAAGCTTCGTCCCACTACCCTTTACCCAACCCGTTTCTTTGTCAAAAAACAAAATGTGTTCACTCTTGCTCTCAATCCAGATTAGGTGATCCGATGTTGACACAATTCTGTGTTCATTCGCGCTTTGAGAATTTGTCGTCGCCGTCAATCATTGACCTAGTTTAAAACTCTAAACGAATTCCTTATCGTTTCACAGAGCAACGACCGATATGTTAGCATTGCTCTGTAGTGATGCAACCTCTACCGCCTTCTCCAGTTGGACACTGATTAGACTGTCGTTACTTTGACGTGCCATGAGCGTAGCTCATGTTACCTCGTAATGCACTAGTGAACTCAAATTGTTTCAATGTTGATGTGGGTGAAGGTCACGCACACGGACACCATTTCGTTCGGACAGCTTATTGTTTTCGTTCCCCCTTAATCTATGTAAAATTGAGCCAATTACCATTGTGGATGTTTGTGAGTAGTGTAAAGTTCGTAGCAAGTAGAAGTCACGATTAAAATTCACACACAATAATGTGCCTCGACGGGGAATCGAACTCTCGTCCAACGAATTTCCGGTCCGCTGCTCTACCACTGAGCTACCGGTAGCTCAGTGTGTATTGAGACGTCGCTAGTTTGTTCCAATTATGACTTTAAGCCATACGGTTGGCTTTTTTGGTTCGGAATTGTGCTGGAAGCACGTGAGGTCGAAATAGTGTGAATTTTGTTTCTAATTGTTTGCAAATAGTACCGTTATCCAGTGCCGGCCTTGTTATTGTTAATGATCCCGATGGAAATGTGTTAGTTTAAGGCTTCCAAGCACTTTGTACCTTACGCAAGATATGAATCTTAAAATTGATAAAGCAGGATCCTTCGAGTTACACCATAGAAAGAATGTAGGGAGAAACTTACTACACTGTTGGCTTCCGCATTCCATACATAAGTTCTGTAGAGTCGGATTGAGGCGCTTCTGGTTGTAGTGGGGCCACACTGGTTGAGCTACCACCACTGGGTGGTAAGCACTCATTAGACATCATGGGAATACAGCAGCTATCCAGAAATTAGTAAAGCATAAAAGAAAGGAACGCACATTTAGGATTAGAACAACATACGTCAACAACGAATTAATGTGAATGAACTTTTTTATATCGAAATAGCAAAAAAGAACAAATTTTCGATCGCATAATTCGAATCCAAATACCTTGCGTAATTCCCTCAGCCATTCACCTAAATTTCGTGGAATGACTAGATTCCATACAGAGATAAGGCGTGATATCCCTGGTGAATCGATGGTGAGCAAAGTTCATCTGACGTTGGTCGGCGTTCCGCTCAAAGGAACGTGACCGCCAACTTCATCAACGTAAACAGCTGTCTCCAAAATCTAGGCAACGGGTTCCTGCCGTTAAAGTGTCGAAGCCTTATAAAACTGAAGTACGCAGTTGAGGTTCCGTTAGTTGGTTATTCTAGATGACTCAGGCGGGTTCTCACATACAAATAAACAAGTAATTTTTTGTCCTTGATAGGTTCGAGGCACGTCTCGACAGGCATGAGCATAAGATTACACCACTGATGAAGTGTCAGCCACAATACATGCACAGTTAGTAAAAATGTAGAATTGTTATACAGGATCCGTAGAAGCAGATAGAACTAAGTATTTTGCACGGATGCAATGTCGGTCCTGTGCTTGAGATCGTCAGGTTTGGGGATACATTGTAGAAATGTTTGATTCAAGGAATAGTGAACAGTGTGGAAACATTGATCTAAGAAGCGGAAGCAGCATGAGAGAGGGGTTGGATGCACGGCAGTCAAGTATCTGCCGAGCGGCTGTGAGCCATGCGCGACCAGGTTACGCGGAATGTGCTCTTGACTCTGTGGACACTTTACCATCAGTACGCCCAACGTACTCACCCGAAAGTACAGAGAAAAGTAAATGCAATCAGGCGGTAACTCGAAAATCTGGATCGCACAGGTTAAATTTAAACAGCAGGCTCCTAACTTGGTGCAAAAATACAAGTTTGCAATGCAATAACACTTTTCGATGGAGACGATATGGGAATCTCCCGTCATGTCGGTATCCACTTTTCTGACCAGGATAGACGGAATAGCGGAACCAAGCTTACTAAGCCGAAATGTCGCTCTGTCTAGCCATTTTTACATTTAGACGAGGTAAGCCTTGTGTGGAACCTTCTAAGGGCAAGAAGGCTAGCTACAAAATTGAAGACTGGTAGCTCAGGTTGCTCAGATGGCGGTTAAACTGTTTGCTGAGCTTGGCAATTTTGTTGCAAACGTTTCCTCACCAATCGAGGTGACATAATCAGTGCGTAGTTGAGTGGCGTGCAATAGCGTAGAGAAGCCTCGGTGAGAGTGCGCTGAGAGTGATAGTGCGTGCGTTTTTATAACACCGTGGTTGGCCGTGGAGAGGAGAAACTCTATTGGTTGGGACTTCAAGCAGCGTTCAGCTTGGTTGATGGCCAGATGACCTTCGACCTTGCATCCCTTGTGTTCCGTGGCCTTTGGCTGCTTGCTCTTGCGAGCGAGTCTGCCGTCAATTCTGCTTGTCTAGTCACACGTCCTATCGGATTCAATCGATCGAGTTGCTGGTCGTTCGCCAGTAGTGTTGCGTATACTGCATCCAGTTCGATGTGTCGATTGGTTGAATTCGTTGTAGAGTACCAGGCTTCCAAAGACTCGCTTGTGTGTTTTGTGCTTCCGTGCGCTAGGACCCTTACATTCTCCAGATCGAAATGGTGGGCTTCTTGATCTTCATGCGCAGAAAACAATGAGTGCGGATCATGCATTCTGACGGCCGCCTTGTGTTCGGTGATTAGTGCACCAAGTTTACTTCCAGTTTGTCCGACGTACTTTTTATCGCAATCAATGCATTTCATGTGGTAGAGAACATTGCATTGGTCGGCTTGATTGACATTTTCTTTGGGTCCTGAGAGCAATTTTCTTAGGATGGCACTTGGGTTGTGAGGCACAGAGATTCCATGTGACTGCAGCAATCTTTCTGACAGTTCGGAGACGTTCTTGATGTAGGAGAACAAGCAAAAAGCCCCGAAACACAAGGAGGCAAGGTCAAAGGTCATCTGCCTATCAACCAAGCTGAACGCTGCTTGAAGTCCCAACCAATAGGATCGCTCGTCTCTATGGCCAATCACGGTGGTATAAAAACGCACGCACTATCACGCTCAGCGCACTCTCACCGAGGCTCCTCTACGCTACTGCACGCCACTCGACTACGCACTGATGATGTCACCTCGATTGGGGAGGAAACGTTTGTAACGAAATTGCCAAGCTCAGCGGACAGTTTGAGCGCCAAGTTTAGCTAGGAAAATAGTAATAATATAGAAAGAAGAGCGTGAAAAAAGGAAATAAACCGGTTCATTTGCACTACCGGAGTTAGGATAAGAGATATGCTTATGAAGCAGTCCATCGATGATGTGCTAGGAACAATCCATCAATTAAAGGTACAGTAAAGAAATCACACAGAGCTGAACCTCAAATTTGTATGACAGTTTGCGTGCCTCCTCGTCAATATCATCATTAGATGTCAACTAGAAGGGAATATCACCTCAGTCACAATGTAACCCAAAAAGAGTCGTAAGAAAACCAAAACAAATGTATTGATGCTTTGCATTATTACGCATCAGATATTGAATTCTGGCTGGAAGGTAAGGGATGGAAAAATTCACAGCAACGTCATTGGAGCCAGCCCTTTGGCATGCCAACAAGTGTGTCCAACCAAACGTGTTTATCGCCTTTCGGACCCCAGCCCTATAATTGGGAGACACCAACCAACGCCAGGTTCGAAGTGAGGGACTTCTCGACCAAGTTATCGATTGGCATCTCCTCCTCTTCCAAATGCACCCCCGGCGCGCAAACAATGCACGTCGCGGGAGTCGGTGTGCTGGCATGCGCAACACGTGACCCAGCCATCGAAGTCTGGTGCGTGACATAATGGTGCTGAGCAGTTCACTCGATCTTGCTACACCAAATACGCGACGCCGAACACGCCCATTGTTCACGCGGTGCACCCATCAGACATGAGCCAAGCTGCAAAGACATCGATGGTCGAACATAACTAGTCTCCATCAATTTGATAGGCTAGGTTTCGCAACATCACAGGAGGGTCGAACGGACGGTTGCATTGTAAATTCTGTTCTTAAGGATGAGAGTAATTTCGCGCAGGCGCCACAAATGGCAAAGATTGGCCAAAACACCCCGAGCTTTCGCTATACGGTTCGTGACATCATGTTCGATTCTACCGGCACCAATATAGCTACTGGAATTAAAGAATTTCAAGACTTCTAGCTGGTCACTGCCAGGGGGCAGTGCAGAAGTGGGTCCCTGCCAATCCTGGAGGACTTTGCATTTCGAGGGTGCAAAGCATAGCGCGAAACGACTGACAGCCAATGCTAATCTGCCTAGTGCCACTTGGCACTTTTGGGAGCTGTCATAGATAGGGGCAATATCGTCGGCGTACTACAAGTCAAGAAGCCGCTCACCAGGATGTAGATCCAAACCTAAGTCGTGCCCGGAGAATGCAGTCTCCATGACTTCGTCGATGGCGAAGTTGAAGAGGAAAGGTGACAGAGGGCAACCTTGTCTCACACCGCTGGAGATATTGAAGGGCAGCGAAAGGTTGCCATAAACTCTCAAACTGCTTGATCCATGCGCGTACAGCGCTCTTATGATATTTAGATATTTCTCGGGCACATCTTTCCTCTGTAGACAGTTCCAAAGATCACACAGATCAGCAGAATCAAAGATCCCTTTTATGTCGAGGAACACAGCTACCGTAGGTCGCCAATAAATATGGCAGTGTACCAACAAGAGGCGAAATGCAAAGAAATGATCAATATAGCTTCGAAATCCAAGAAACCCGACTTGCTCCTAGCGATTCTGGCTTTCAGGAGTGCCAGTCAGTCTATAAAGAATGACAGAGGCAATCGAGACTGAGTTTGTCAGGCTTTTAATCACTAACCGATCTGGTGTGAGTGGCTATGTAGGTGCAAAGCACCGCCAAGCATAGTGCAATGCATCGCTAAGGAACGCAAGCCATCGCACCACGCTGAGGTCTAGCATCATCGCGATGGAAACGCCACAAATCTTTAGAGCGAACAGGCCAGTTCGTGCAGATATACAGTAGCAACATACACTCTGTGATGCCCGTGGCCTAAAAGCTCACAAGGCTGCCTTGTAATCCGAGGGCGCTGGTTCGAACCTGCGTAGGGTCCGGGAGAGTCTCGCAGTATCCTTAGCCCATGCGCAACTGTTGGTGGTTGCGCGGCAGCGAGGCGTCGGTACTGCGTACCGGTGCACTGCTGATGCATATTTTTTAAATTCCGTGAAGACGTGTGTCTCAGGTTGGTTGATGCAAAGTAAATTTAGAAAATTAAAATGAAATTGCATCTCCAAAGCCACTACCAGTTGTGATACAACTCCAGAAACAAGTAAAGCTATTAACGTTCCAAGCTGCCATCGGAAAATTGTGCGCACACTTGCCAACCATGAAGCAAAGCACCACATGTAAAGGGTGAAAAACACAGATCATATTTAGATAGTCTATTGCCATGCGGTACAAACTGTTTTAGACGTCTTGAGAATTGTCTCCCAATAAAGTGATGTCATCAGCATAATCAAGGACACCAATTATATCACTGTTGTAACGCTGCGCTTGTCTCTGCTTTCTGCGCCGCAAACCCATCCGGGGCAAAAAAAAAACAGAAGACCGAGGCCTGCCAGACAGAAGTGTCTTAGGAACAGAACACGGTTAATTTTATAGGTCACACGCCATCATCTCCAGCTGCGCTTTTCTGGGCTGACTCACGTCACTTGTCTATGCAGATTCAAAGCTGCTAGCGGTCTCCATTGGCCAGCTGTAGTCACGCTCACGCCGGCTGCGTATGAACCCGTGTCATGATGACGAACTGATTCCATCAGCTTTCCGCGCGACTTGCCGTATGTCCACATCACGTCTTGAAACCGTGACACGGGATTCTTTCGTTGCGGCCGCCTCATCAGCATCATCCAAAGCAGTACATCAG